AAGGAGAAAACGAAATCTCCTTAACAAGAATCCCATCAAGAAAAAACTTCAAACTTTGAGGATTTCAACTATGATATTCCTCAAACTCATTCCATTGAAGTCATGCCAACACCATCATAACCAATCAGCAAGCACACACTAGGACTATGAATAATATGTTTGTCCAAGCTTTTTTTCTACCACACAAGCTAACTACATAGTACCTTTGCCTCTTTGGCTTTTTGGTGATAATGATGTTGGAAATAATTAGTAGAATTAGCTTTTTGTTGTTTTTATTATTTTTCTGACTTTGTTCATCTTATGTAACTCTGTCATATTTTTAACATATGAATGATGTTACTTTTTAAATTAAATTATATGAGTTCTATGTGCAATTTGTTTTTTTTTTCTCTTTTATTCCTTCCTCCTTTTTTATAATTCCAAAGGGAAAAAAATACTCGCAAACAAGAGTAAAATATACTCTCTTTATCTGTAAAGGAGTTCACACACACACACACACACACACACACACACACACACACACACACACACAAATACACACACACACACACGCACGCGCGCGCATACACACACACACACACACACACGCACGCGCGCGCATACACACACACACACACTACTGCCAAACAGATAAACTGAAATAAAAAATAAGAGAAACTAAAAACAAAAATACACAATTAGTAAAATATACAAACGAACCAAAAAACAAATGAACACAAGTGAAGGATACTCATAAGAAATTCTTTACACGGCGGAATAACAAAAAATCGTATTAGTTTTCTTTTGTAGCTTTTTCATGAATTTTGGAAAGTGAGATTCAAGGAGTAATCAAAGTGAGACACCATGCTAGATAATTGGTCATTTTTTTAATTCATCCACACTTAATATATATATATATATATATATATATATATATATATATATATATATATATATATATATATATATATATATATATATATATATATATATATATATATATATATATATATATATATATATATATATATATATATATATATTCATTTAATAATTCATTTAATTAATTTAGATTTAAAATAATTTAGAACTTTAGCTTCTTTTATAGAATTTAATTCATTAGAAACTATTTTAGTAATTAATCTTTCTTTAATTTCCATTTAATTCAATTTTAAGCAAAAATAAATAAAAACAATCAGAATTTCTTTAGGTTTAGACCTTTCACATTTATTCATCAAATTAATTTCTAATTCATCAACCTAAGATCAACTATCTCGATATTTCATTTGAATTTAACTTATTCTAAGTGTTTGATGTACATATTCACATTACTGTTACCTATTCTATTGCATTTTTGAATATTCACTTTAAATTTCCTGTTACTAAGCCCATTATGCTGAAGGAAAGGTAACCCCTTTTGACTGCCATGTCATTACCTCATATCCTCCATTCATACCCTATCCTAGCCTTAGGATCTGAGTCGCCGTACTCACGCATAATGTCCAGCCGTGGACATTCATACCTTTTGTCCTTTATCCTAGCCTTAGGATCAGGAGTTGCCGCACTCCATGTAGATTTCCATCGTGGAATACTTTCTCACCCTTTTCAACTGAACTTTCAATATAGAATTGAAGTCTTCGCACTCCATGTAAGTGTCTCCCTATGAACACATACATCCCCTTGGAACCTTGACCATAATCAAGAAGTTCCTCTCCCTCTTTGATGGGAACTACGAATACTCGGATTACATCCCCTACCCAGGATACGTAGGCACATGATGGAAATCTATATATATATATATATATATATATATATATATATATATATATATATATATATATATATATATATATATATATATATATATATATATATATATATATATATATATATATATATATATATATATATATATATATATATATATATATATATATATATATATATATATATATATATATATATATATATATATATATATATATATATATATATATATATATATATATATATATATATATATATATATATATATATAGGATAACTAGTAAGGTTTTTTAATATTTTAAATACCAACAATGCCCTTAATGGATAGTTTAGAGACAAAATTCAATAAAACTAAATAAAATTAAACATATAAAAATAAACGCAATAAAATGGAAACAAAAGTACAATTAACCCTAATTAATTATTTTAAATATTTTGACAAAAAATAAAAATAAAAGGACTCAAAATAAATAAAAATTAGGCGTGGAAGTGTTTGAAAAATATAAGTAAATGCACTAAAATGATCGTGAAAAATAAACCTCTAGTAAATAAATAGGTTTTGATCAAATTTTGAAGTAAAAATGACCAGCTCAAAAGATTCAAGTTGATCAAATGTGATTGCAAAAGGAGTCAAAAAAATTAAAACAAGCACGCCAGGTTAAACTACGCGGACCATAGATTAATAAAAACTAAAGTCTGCAAGCTGGATTTTAAAAATTTTCTCCCACTAATTTTACGTACATTTAAAAATTGATTCAACCGATTTGTTTGTAGATCCAAAAATTTATTCTGTTTCACATTTTAGTGTCAAAATTCGGGTGTAAATGTCATGATTAATGTACCAATTCAATGATTCAATGTCAGAACATACACACACATACATGCTCATACACACACACACACACATACAGACACGCACGCACGCATGCTCACACATGCGCGCATACACACACAAGCATGCATGCACGTACGCACACGCGCACACACACATAAATGTTTTCAAATCTCCTATGTTTTTATAAAGCTTCTTAAAATCAATTTGTCAAAGCTCTTAATTAATTAGAAGCTTGGTTAATCATTTAGCAAGTTAAAATATATTTTCATTAGATTAAGATCAAAATGTTGTACCACTTAATCAGTTAAGGAGTATAATAATCGATTAAGTGACATAGAAGTTCAAACATTTCTATTTTATCTTGTTAAGTTGATTATACATAGATTTAGTTGATTAACTCATTAAAATGGCTCATGAATTGTTTTCTTTGTTCGCCAAATTATTTTCTATATAAAGTAGGTTTCTTCTCATTTCAAAATAAACTAGTTTTTCTGAATAGAAACCTTTCGAATATATTCCTTTTCTCATTCTTCTATAAAATCCTTTCTCACTAGAGTTGCCTTAGAGTCAAAAGAGTGAAAAGTTGAGAGGTCGGATTTGTATTGTGTTAAAAGTATTTATTCAACAACATAGTTCTTTTGTAATATCTTTGTAATGAATGTTAAGGTAACAACCTTAACATGTGTAAACTTTTGTGTGTAGGTTTTGAGTCAGACATGTGAAAAGCTTTGGTATAGGTTTTGAGTTATGTCTGTGAAAAACTCTAATTTAGTTTTGAGCTAAGTTTGTAAAAAGCTCTTGTTTTAGGTTTGAGCTAAGTCCGTATGGATGTTATTTTTTGTTTGTGAAAGGTTTTTGGGTTGGTCATGTGTAAAAGCTCTTGTTGTTTGAAATGTTTTTTGGGTTGAACGTGTAAAAAGCTCAAGATTGTTTTATGAAAAATTTCATGGGAGAATTCTGAGGGACTAGAGTTAATCAAGTGATTTAGGTCGAACCATAATAATTCTCTTGTGTGATCTTTCTATATTTTATTTTCTTTTTTTCAATCATTTATTATTCCGCTGCTTATTTATTTTTCTATTATGTCTTTCATTATTTTAATATTTATTTTCCGTCTTTTCTCTTTTCTATCTTTTCGTTGCTCCATCTTTATTTATTTTTTTATTTCTTGTAGGTTGAGGGTTTTTTAAAGGGGGTGATGAGAGTATTATTGGTATGTAAGTGCCAAGGTAACTCAGGGTTCAATTGAGTTTAAAAAAAGTTGAATTTAAGATTAAGTTGCATTTTCTTTTTGTATGGCGATGAGTTGTAGGAGTAGTGGTGTTGGTGGAAAGAGTTTAGGGGGCTTGAATTTCTAAACAAATTTTTTCAACATTTGCAACTTTTGCAGTTCTTTGAATTTAGAAACAACATCCTTCAACAATTATAACTTCCACAGCGGTTCCACAGCGGCAGGATCGACAACTACGACGAAAGAAGCTAGTGAAGTCGTGATTACTTTGAGTTTGACATTGATGGTTCATATTGATATAGTTAGAGATGTCATTGTTGTGTTAGAAAAAGAAAGGTGAAAGTGAATGAGTGGGAAAAAAGAGAAGATGGTGAAAATTGAATCAAAAATAAATGAACCATGTGTAGTTAATCTTTCTAGGTTTAATTTCGAATTTAAATTTATGATTTTAGCTTTATAACTCTGTTTTTTTATAGAATTAGTAATGTGGCATATAAAGTGACTACTTTGATAAAATAAAATTAGACATAGTCATTTCAGATTTTTTCATTAAATTTGACTATTACATTAAACAGATAAATGTTATAAATAATATTTTTTAAAAACCTAAATAATTTATTTTTTTAAAAGTAAATCCCGATAATAAATATTAGAGGAAAAGTATTACATCTGATCTTTAATATAAAAAAAATGTTTATTTTTTAGATTTATTGAATAATGAATATATATAATTCAGGTATATTAAAAAATAAAAAAAATATATTAAATACAATATTATTATTATTATTGTTTTATTGTGTATAAGAAAGGAGGCAGTATACCCGAAGATTTTAATGCTGAAATTTGTAGCATAACCACATTAAATTCCAAAATAAAAATATCTAAATCGGTGTTAATGACTTTCCACTAATGAGTATTTTCTATACAAATTGTCCCCAACTTAGCATATTTTCTAACTAACCAAAGTCTTAGTTATTTTGACCAAACAATTGCCGCATCTATAATTACCTCCAACCAAACTAACATAGCAAGGGCTATTAATTGGTCACAACCGCTTCCGTGAATTCCTTAAATGCATACCTACAACACAGGTCTATAAGAATCCTCAAAACTCTAATCTCACACACAAACCAAACAAGTTCCAAGAAGAAAAAGAAAAACATTATTTCAAACTTTCTCTCCTAAAAAATGTCAAGTGAAGTAGTGAAGAAAGAAGGGTCTCTAAATCTGAAAATCACTTGCAAGAGCTATGTGAAACCGGATGAAAAAATAGGAAAAAAGGAGTATCAAATGGTCACATTTGACCTACCCTACCTAGCTTTTTACTACAACCAAAAACTGATTTTCTACAAAGGAGGTAACTTTGAAGAGAATGTTGAGAGGCTGAAAAATGGGCTTGCTGTTGTTTTGAAGGAGTTTCATCAACTTGCTGGAAAATTAGGAAAGGATGAAGAGGGTGTTTTCTTGGTTGAATATGATGATGATATGGTTGGTGTTGAAGTTGTTGAAACCGTTGCTAATGAGATTAGTGTCGAAGATCTAACAGTTGCTGAAAGTAATGCTAGTTTGAAGGAATTGATTCCTTATGATGGAATCTGTAATTTCGAAGGCATGCATAGACCTTTGTTGGCTATTCAGGTAATTATGTTTTTTTTTTGTTAAAATGTGATTATATTTTGTTGATTTAATTTCTTTTATGAGATCTAACTTAGATGAGGTTTTTGGATGGTCACATTTCACATATAACTTCTAAAACTACATAGATTTTGTTATATTAGATTTTGTCATGTTTTATTATAATTTTTTTCCCTTTTGCTAGTAAAAGAAAATTATTAAAAAGGATGATTGAGAAGAAGTGCATGTACATTTTTGCTTGAAAAGACCCAAATAGCAATTAGAGTAAAAATTTGTTAATCCTAAATTTTGCCAAATTACCCTTGATCTGATGCATTATCAAATCCTAAGTATTTTAGACCATATATAAAAAGTTTTTAAAAAAAAACTTACATTAATGTTTTTTTAGTTTAATAATTTTTGTGGCTATTTTCACTCCTAAAAATGTAAGTGAAATATCGGAGATTCGACTTTATCAACATGCAATGGATGTTTTGCCCTAGGTTATCGGGACAATTTATGGTCATGTTTAATTAGTTGTAAATTGTAATTCTAGTATATAAAAATGTTCTAAATTGTACCAACAAACCCAGCTGTAATTCATAAATGACTTATAAATCTCATCCAATAAATAAAGATAAGATAAAGTAAGGATAGTTTTATGCAAATTTGATGGCTGATTGTAGTATGGCCCATACTAGACTCCACTTCCCATATGTAAATAACTTTCATAAATAAAGAAACTTTCTCTATTTTCTGTTTTAGTTATTTTTTACCTATAATTGTCAGTAAAATAGTATCATTAAATAGGAAAAATGAAATAACATCATTACCATTTTGATTTTTAACAGTTGACAAAGCTCAAAGATGGGCTCGTTATGGGCTTGGCTTTTAACCATGCTGTCCTTGATGGAACATCCACGTGGCACTTCATGACTTCATGGGCCGAGATATGCAGAGGTACACCCTCCACAACAGCCCCGCCATTCTTGGAACGGACCAAGGTACGAAACACCCGCGTGAAGCTTGATATCTCTTTACCTAAGCCTAAACTCCCACCACCATCGGCTAATGGTGAGGCAAAGCCACAAAGCGAAGGCCTGCCACCATCAGCCAATGGTGGGGCAAAGCTTGAGCCTGTTTTAAGAGAAAAGATTTTCAAATTCTCTGAATCAACTATCGACAAGATCAAGTCAACAGTCAACCAAACCCTTCCATCCGATGGTTCAAAGCCATTCTCAACCTTCCAATCTCTCGCCAGTCACATTTGGCGCCATGTGACACTTGCACGTGACCTAAAACCCGAAGACTACACGGTTTTCACCGTCTTTGCGGATTGTAGAAAACGAGTGGATCCACCAATGCCAGATGCCTACTTTGGAAACCTAATTCAAGCTATATTCACAGTCACTGCTGCGGGACTTTTATCTGCCCACCCGCCACAATTTGGCGCTTCCTTGATCCAAAAGGCAATTGAAGCCCACGACACGAAAGCCATCGACAAACGTAACAAAGAGTGGGAGAGTTCACCCAAGATATTTGAATTTAAAGATGCTGGAATCAATTGTGTGGCAGTTGGAAGTTCGCCAAGGTTCAAGGTTTATGACATTGATTTTGGATGGGGGAGGCCAGAGAATGTGAGAAGTGGAACTAATAACAAATTTAATGGAATGATATATTTGTATCCAGGGAAGAGTGGGGGGAGAAGCATTGATGTTGAACTAACATTGGAGGCCGAGGCAATGGGAAAGTTGGAGCAAGATAAGGAGTTTCTTATGGAGAATATAATATAAACTACTAGAGTTCATTTGTGCAATAAAGGTGAGACATAGTTGAAGGGATTCATCTACTACTAGCTTGAGTACGGTTTTTCAAAAGAGTTATGATGTTATTGTTTAAGTGTGTGTTGTTTAATACGATTTCATTTGTATTCGGTGGTTTTGTGGTTTGATTGAATTTGAACTTGATAATGTTGTTTGGATAATGTATGTGATCCACATTTTCATAATTTCTCTTAAGTTTATATTACTCTTACTGCACTTTTTCTTATTCACCAAAAGTGATTCTAAAATTTTGGATCCACTCGTCCCAAAATTGTCTAGAATTTTAAAGTAAAAAAGCATGATGTTTTTTGGGCATCCTTCCTTATATATTATTTTGTTGTTATGTCTAGTTTCACACGTGTAAGAAAGAGATTTAAATAGCTAATCATAATACCATTGACAAATTTGGGGAGATGATTGGTGTTATATACTCAAATTTAACATTAATGTGTCTCTTCTTTTTTTCTTCATTGTTGCTCCTGTATGAATACAAGGGATTTGATCATCGGAGATGGTCATATAATTTTCATGTCTATTTATGTGATTTTTAATTCGCTTCCAGAATACTCCTTGTCTAAACATATAGATGTAAAGGCTTGCCAAAGTTATTTGGGGTGTGAGAAAGTTATTAGGGGTGTTAGAAGATAATGATGGGATCTAAAGGGATGCACCATGTAAGGTGGGAGTATAATATTTTTATTCGTTTCCATCTCATTAGAAGAGAAAACGGTGATGGTGTAAATTACTTTTAAAATTTTAAAATACCTATATGATATAGCAAAATAATATATTTTTATTATATGATAGTGTAAAATCTTTTTATAACATCAGTGCATTATCATTAAACCGTTTTATAATAGGATCATTTGATCCAATGATTTTACGTTAGGCCATTAGATTTAAATTATTTATGTTTATGTATCTGTATTCGTAAATTTTTTGCATACCCTTTTTTTCTTTTTAAAAAACAAATGTATTTTTTTATCGTCTATTCTTACCATTTTAATTGTATTTGTTTTTTTTCATTCACGCTTGTTTTAGAATTTCCACGCCTTTGTTTGGACTTTCATTTATACAATGTTCTTAATTTTGGTTGTTCCATTTTCTTTCAGGAGAATTTCGTCTTTACTACACTTTATTATGTTAGAACACACAGTTAATGTGCAACAAGATTGTAATTGTAAGATGAAAGAAATAGTACACACACACACTTTAATATTTTGACATTTTAGAAGACATCTTAGAGGAGAAAAAAAGAGAGAATATAGATGATTCTCATTGATTTATTTTTCACATTAGAAATTGTTATTTATATGTGTTACACAATAGCTTGCTAAGCAAGTCATCAGTACACAAAGTAACTAACTAACTAACTTGTACACAAGACAGTTATGGATTAACATTCAACACTCCCCCTTAATTCATAATTGTTGAACACTCATAACACCGAGTTTCTTTCTCAAAAACTCAAATCTGTCAAGCTTTAGAGCCTTTATAAAGCCATCTGCCAGCTGCATTTCAGTTGGACAATATTGCACTTCAATCATTCCATTGTTCACTTGCTCTATAATGAAATGAAACCTTGTATTGATGTGTTTACTTCTGCCATATGAGATTGGATTTTTAGCAAGACTAATAGATGACTTGTTATCAATTTTGAGTATCATAGGCTTCACCACTTCACACCTCAGTTCCTTCATCACTGAATCCAACCACATTGCCTGACAAGTTACAAATGTTCCTGCAATATATTCTGCCTCACAAGATGAAAGTGCAGTCACTGGTTGCTTCTTTGTACACCATGATATAGTTGTCAGAGGTATTTCTTCTATCTATGATGTCTCCACACCAATCACTATCTGAGTATCCAATGATTTCACTTCTTTCACCTTTGGTTTTATTTGGGAATACCAAACTGTTAGACGACAGCAATGATCTAGAATGGGGATTGAATAGATTACTTATCCTTAAACAGAATCGACACTTATAATACATTGGTTTTAAAAAATTTAAAGCAGAAGCGGCCGAGAAACTACAATCATCTAAACGAACCATTACCAAAAGGATCGGATATACGCTACGCCTATATGGAATACCGATAAAGATGAGAAATCAAATCAAAAGTTTGAACACAAATCAATATGATTTTGTTCACTCAAAGTTGTTCAATTTCCAATGCTTGTGAAATATAAACACAAATTGAAAAACAACTCAAAACATTTGTATTCAAGCAATTTATCGAACAATTGATGTGTGAGGCACTCCAGGTAACATTCACTAAGTAAATGTAGTGCTAAGCTTTTCCGATTACAATTAAATGGATTATATTGAGTTTTTTAAATATGTTTCAGCACTACCATAAACCAGAATTTTAGTCAACTAATTTCTTTGCACACAAACTTAAAATTCAAAAATGAAAATAGTGAAAAGAGAGAACAAAACCAATTTGTTTAGGCACTTCCCCGTTGTCTTCGCTCGGGGTACGTCTGCCCTCAATTCTAAAAATAAAATTAAGACATGTATATATAAGTTATTGCAAATTGTTTTTACAAGAGAAGCAGTAGAACTCAAACACTCTGTTGCGGTGAGAATAGGATATCAAATTATTAATTAATTTGAATCACATATCTTGAATTCATAACCGACCTTTGATTTTTCTGAAGGAAAGTTTAAAGAAAGAAAAACCTATTTTGCATCGTAAACACGATGCATGGAGATCTAGGGTCGGGGGTTGGTTATACCTAGGGAAGGTATTAGCATCCTAAGCATATGTAGTATTCTACAGGAACCTCTTGTTTAAAATGTGCTATTTGCTAACTATCTATTAAAGGGTATGCTAAAGGGTTGAAGGAGACCTAAAGGGTTAGACCTAAGTATACTCACCAAGAAATCACATCATGTGCCTACGTATCCTGGGTAGGGGATGTAATCCGAGTATTCGTAGTTCCCATCAAAGAGGGAGAGGAACTTCTTGATTATGGTCAAGGTTCCAAGGGGATGTATGTGTTCATAGGGAGACACTTACATGGAGTGCGAAGACTTCAATTCTATATTGAAAGTTCAGTTGAAAAGGGTGAGAAAGTATTCCACGATGGAAATCTACATGGAGTGCGGCAACTCCTGATCCTAAGGCTAGGATAAAGGACAAAAGGTATGAATGTCCACGGCTGGACATTATGCGTGAGTACGGCGACTCAGATCCTAAGGCTAGGATAGGGTATGAATGGAGGATATGAGGTAATGACATGGCAGTCAAAAGGGGTTACCTTTCCTTCAGCATAATGGGCTTAGTAACAGGAAATTTAAAGTGAATATTCAAAAATGCAATAGAATAGGTAACAGTAATGTGAATATGTACATCAAACACTTAGAATAAGTTAAATTCAAATGAAATATCGAGATAGTTGATCTTAGGTTGATGAATTAGAAATTAATTTGATGAATAAATGTGAAAGGTCTAAACCTAAAGAAATTCTGATTGTTTTTATTTATTTTTGCTTAAAATTGAATTAAATGGAAATTAAAGAAAGATTAATTACTAAAATAGTTTCTAATGAATTAAATTCTATAAAAGAAGCTAAAGTTCTAAATTATTTTAAATCTAAATCAATTAAATGAATTATTAAAAATCTAAATTAATTATTTTTTCTTTTTATTTTTTATTTTTTATTATTAAATTAAAAGTTATATAAAATTGGCTTAATTGCAATTTTGGTCCCACTATTTTTACTTTTTTTAGTTTTGATCCCCCTATTTTAAAATCCAGAATTTTTGTCCCTTTGTTTTCAGTTTTTGAGTTTTGGTTCCCCTATTTTAAAATTTGAAAATTTTGTCCCTCTATTTTCATTTTTTGTGAGTTTTGATCTCCTTATTTTCATTTTTTAAAACTTTTGATCCCTTATTAAATTTGTTCCCAATTGGAAAAAGGGATTAAACTTCAAAACAAAACTTAAAATAGGGGATCAAAACTATAAAAAAAATGAAATTAGAGGGATCAAAATTTTGGATTTTAAAATAGGAGGACCAAAACTCAAAAAAAATGAAAATAGAAGGACAAAAATTTCGGATTTTAAAATAAGGGGATTAAAACTAAAAAAAATAAAAATAGAGGGGCCAAAATTGCAATTAAGCCAATTAAATTATAAAACCTAACTTCCAACCTTCTTCATGCGCGACGCCCCAACCTCCTTCTTCCTCTCTCTCTCTCTCTCTCTCTCTCTCTCTCTCTCTCTCTCGCCGTCCGCTCACTTTTCTTCTCTCCCTCCCTCGCTTCTTCTTCATTTAGTTTCTCTTCCTCCATTTCTTCTCTTCTTCTTCTTCCTTTCTATTTCCTCCTTCGTCTATTTCTTCTTTTCTTCTCCAACTCAACTTCCCTCTTCCGCTTCCACTTCCGTCTTCTTCATTTCTGTTTCTTTTCTTTTTCATTTCTTCTCACAATTCTCTTTCTTTTTTCTTCTCCTTCATCTCTCTATCCTTTATTCTTAAAACAAACCCTAAACAAAATAAAAGCTCAAAACAAATGTTAGAACAAAACAGAGAAAAAGATGATTACGGCTGCGAGGACGGTGGTGGCTCACAGAGATATGTTGGTCAGTGGCGGTAATTGTGTTTTCGGCGAACACGACAACGTCGGAAAGCAAGGTAAGCTTTTCAAACCTTTTTCTTTTTAAGGTTTTTCGTTTTCTGAATTTCTTGTGTTTGTGAGTGGATTTAGGTTTTTGTGATTTTTCTGTGTAAAGCTGTATATATCCTTTTGAGCTTGTTGTGAACTACCTTTTTATAACTTTCCGGAAGACGAAGAACATTAGTTTCTTTCCATTTTTGATTAGACATGTGCCTATATATTTGGTATGAATTTAAAATCTGTCCCAAACATGTGTTGGTGTAAAATGAATGTTGTCTGATTACTAATTAATGATGATGGTTCTAAGGTGAACCTGAAAAGGGAAGAAAATAATCTTATGAGTTGT